CAAAATTACCTGCTCTGTTACAAACAACAGCTGCTAGTACAGCACTTTAAGAGATTATACTTTCAGTTTCCTTACATGCTATGAATGCGTGGGATTATTTGAGCACTATTACAAGCGAAATAAAACTGCCGATAGATGCAGTTTAAGTCAAAAAAAAATGAAGCCAATTAATTCCAAAAATAAATTTCGCCATTTTTTTTTAATCCAAAAGGCATATAAGATCTGATTTTAATCAATAAATGGAAAATAACAAGCCTTTAAAAATCGGTTGTTTCCTCCTTAAATACAGTTTTTTTAATATGCTTTTAGTTTCCAAAATATCTAGTATTTTACAAAAAACTTCCCTTTCTATAAAAGTGATAAAAAAATTTTCAGTGCAACATTCTGCAATTTGTAAAGCTTTTTTTTTTTAATTCGTAAATGTTAGCCAATGATTTCAGTCAATATGGATGACGGCATATAAATATTTAACAAATTATCGTTGATTGAAATATACAGAAATAATACAAATTGATTTATGTGTTTAGTTCTTGCGTCTTATCGGTTAGAAGATATGGCTTTCAGTAAATAATACAACCGTTTTTGAATTCTAAGTTCTACAAGGTGTTCATGAAGTCAGAAAACCTTACAACGTTCATACGTAGTTTAGAATATATACTTGACAAAAAACAGGGGACAATTGTATCGTTTCATTGTAATCAGGCAATGCTACTAATCTTATTTATTTACTCTTTTTTTTTTTTTTTTTTTCTGTGCCTGGATTTTTGCTGACTCTGTATTTCCCTCCCCACCCCCTTTTATGGAGCTGCCTAAAGAAAAGTGCTAACAAGATTAATGCGAGAAACATGGAAGACCAAGAGGCAAACACAGTAGCTGCGATACAGCAAATTAAGTACAATTCAAGAAATTCCGCTACCACGAGTAGCTTTTAAATCTAACTTTTTATAACTAATCTAACTTTTTAAATCAAAAAATGAATATAGTAAAACTCCGATTTATCGTTCCCGCATGTCTTAGTCGCCATTTTTGGACTCGAATGAAGATCTACATACATAACATTACTTATTCCCGCATCTATCATTTACTGAACTACTATTTTACTACTTTACATGTTTGTAAATCACGTCTCCTAAGCAGCATTACTTATATGCATCGTTTGGGAAGAACACATTTAAAACAAAGTATGCATTTGTTACTTGCACATTATATTCTCTCTGGACTACAAAACTGGCAATACGAGGGCATATTAATATTTCACACGTGACCCTCTGCTCTGCGTACGAATTATTAACATAATTTATAAATGGATTTTCTTTGCAAATTGCAATAAGTTTATTTTTGTTAATTTTCATTCGGTTATTTCCCTTAGCTTTTAGAAGGCTAGCGAAAGACACAAAATAATTTTCAGTTTGTTATTACAATAAAAATGCCCGAAGAAAATTAAAACGAACAAAAAATTATTTGGAACTTTAAGGAGAATTACGACTCTTCCTAAAAGGTTGAAGTGTTTTCCTGTGCGCAAAGTGGAATTGACGGGACAGTGAATATACATGAAGTCTCGAAAAATTCAAATTTCCAATAAATACAAACTTTAGTCGAGAAGGACAAAATATCTACTGATTGCTACAAATAAATTCAAGTTGATATTAATAAATGCTATTCATTTACTATGTGTTATAACTTCCCAGCTTAATCATTTCACAGCATGCATCGCTTTTTCCGTCCGTACATTAAAACGATAAATCGAAGTTTCATTTTATAATATCTTTCATCTCCTCACTCGCCATCCCATATCCAGGAACAGAATATTACGTACCTGTTGCACTAGTCTAAGGTTCATCGGTCTCTGATTATTCTTGTACACTTTATGTTTTAAGTAACTCACACCAAACCAAAAAACAAGAAAGAAAAAAAATCTACATGAAGCAAAAAGCCCAGGCATCGAAAATAGAAATGATTACGATCACCATCTTAACAGTGAAATAAACATTCTAGGATATCAACGAAGCATAGAAGATTATTCGATTTCTACATATTATGCATTAACGATTAATTTCTGAAATCTGGGTTTCTCGACTTAATGAATGCATTAAATTATATTTATTAAAATATTATGAGAGAAAAAAAATTCAAATTTGAAGATTTCTTTTCTTGCTTACTTACTCAACTTATTTACCACAAAGTACGTAACATTCCAATTTTTGGCAAATATATCCAAGACTTGGCGGAAGCCACTAATGACTGGATCCAAAGCACTAAGATGTGAAATGGCAGTAAGAAATGAACCACAGTCTATTTCATTTCTGTATTCAAAGCTAAATCTTATTTAGGTATCCAAAGTTGGTTTGCAACTATATTCCGTCTATCCATGATTCAAAGTACTATTAGTCAATTAGCACTAACACATGAATCTAAAGATAATTTCATTTCTACGGACTGAGTTCATAAAATATTAAAATCTAAATGCTCTTTCACGCAAGACAACTGCATTCTATTTATTTCGCGATAACCGTCGAATTGGTTGACTGCTTTAAAATTTTCACAACTCAAACTTCAATATACAAAATTATTTATAATTAATTATACAGTTTCGTATCGAGAACTTAAAGAGACAAGCTCTCTTCATAGCTGCCCAGACGAGTTGAACTGACGCAAGAGCAGTGTTGCGAAATTTTTTTAAAGAAGTAAATCCTAGCGGCGAAAAAAAACTTCAAATACATAACACCGTTTTTGTAACTGTGATATGTTCTGTAATAAATAGCTCTTCACATAGAATAGTTGGATATTAAATGTCACATTTCATAGCGCTTCAGATAATAACCAACCGAATAATGAATAAAATAATTTATATAAACATATGGTTAATTATTTGTTGACATTTCGATGACAGAGAATGCATGCAATCGGATATATTTATTCTAACGACTAAGATAATGATTAAGTTGCACAGTTTAGAATACGGATCGATAAGGTGGTCCTAGCTGGAACATTTGTTGATATCACAACTGACAAATGTTAGATAACTGTGAAAGATCTGCATTTTATCTTTTAGCCAAAGTTTATGACTGAATGCTAGAAGCTAATATTTTATTAAATTAATAACTGATTAATCACTTTAACTGTTCATTCCTGTTTGAACAAGTGTAATAACCTAGTATTCCAGTAGGAATTTTTTTGAAATATATTTATCGAATTCAGCAGACAAATATTTTGTTTCATTAGCAGTTCATAGGAAGACAAAATATTTAGTTTTGTTTGGAGCAGAAACGATAAAACAGATTACATTTAAATGCTTATAATTTGAAATATATTACATAGTATATCCGACAGTTCCAAGTAATTGGAATGTTTAGCTTTTTAATTAGCTTTCAAATTTTCAGCATTAGAATAATCGAAACGTTTCAAGAAAATCATTGACAAATAAAGTACTTTTTGATTTAACTACAAATTTAAGTGCAGATTTAGATAATTTAAACACTAATTAAGACTTTAAAAATTATGAAAAGAATGATAGTGTTTTTTGCATAAGAGATAAAGTATTTTTAATGTGATAATTGTTAGTAAATTATAAAAGCATTAAAAATTAAAAGCGATTTCTTTATTTGAGCCATAAAAATATTTAAAATTTAAAAATATATTATATTTAGAATAAAAATAATTTTTATTTTTATACGTTCCAAGCATAAGCTTCACATTACAAAATTTACCCTTATTTAACAATTGTTCTAAATTATTAAAATACATGAAAACACTGTAATAATAATTTCCGGAATTAAGAAATTTTCAGATAGAAAATAACATTCTCCAAAAAGTAGGGGACGATAATATTATTGATAAATATTTGCGATAGCTAAAAAAAAAAAATTTTTTTTTTCGAACATGTAAATGAAACCTCACACATATTTTGCCTTATGCAGCATTATTTTATGAAGCAATTTATGAAACGAAGGTAATAGCTAATAATCAATTACATTTAAATGCATAAATAAATTACATATTTAATCATCTAAATCTAAATAAATTAGATACAATTAAATAATTTATCATTGTTATATCAATGTCCAATACTATTTAATCATCACTTATAAACTGCTAACTTTGCTCATAGAATTAAATGCACTTGAAGATTTATTGTACGAAATGCTTCATTTTGTTCGCATATTTAATTTTAGGACTCTGGACATTTTAGGATTTACTGACACGAAATATTAAAAAATAATTGAGTTTTTATTGTTAAACGTCAGCATAAAAAACAATTAGATTTAATTGTTATTTATCTTTGAAAATGAGCACAGTTTTTCAGTTTACGCTTGGTTAATAACTTTTAATTCGCGTCTTTGTTCACTAAACGTTGTTTTCCATTTTAAATTCATTTCGATTGTTTTTAAAAATTATTTTAGATTAGGGATGTTAAAAAAATAAGAATAAAAACAAAAAACCAAATTAAATCTGTTTTTAATAATGTTAAAAAGAGCTAAATCTCGCTGCTGTAGTAGAAAGGAAATCAAAACTTTAAGGTACGAAAAACATCATCAACAGGCCGGCATGCAACCTTTCCAAGACTGAAAATATTTTACAAACACATTTTTTTTTTGTTGCTAACATCGCGAGCTTCCAAACAGTAAACACGTGCTATACTGTAAACAACATACCATTGTTTACATTTCTAAGTGTCCACAGACCGTTCTTTCTTCAACTTTGAGAATACATAAACATACTTTCAACGCGCATCCTTGCAATTGCTTTAAAATTTTTATTTAAAAAAAAAAAAAAAAAGAAAAGGCTAGGAGAAAATGTAAAAGAGAATAAATAAATTAAACAACTGTTTAATTATGAGCCGGCTGCACCAAAACAAACTTGAAAAAACTATTGTTACAAACTCAGTCATAACAGTCATTATTAAATATTCATTACAATCAATACCACAAAAGAACAATCTTTGCAATAAAACGAAGAGTTTACAAAAGCGAGAGGTAAGGGGGGAAAGGAAAAGTTCTTACCTCTTCGAGTTTTCGGCGTCCCCGTGTTCGCCATGAGGTCGTCTATGTTGCATTCGCTGAAGCAGCTTGGCAGCGACAATCTCAATCCAGGAGAGGTTGTTGAGTGCTCCGTTTCTCCTCCCTCCTCCAACATCGACAAGCGTACTAATTGTGGAGGGGCAGCTGCCGATCGTTTGAACAGCCGCATAGTGAAGCTTTGATGCGGCTTTGCGTTACCTTGGCGACGACCTTGCGCCAAACTTGGCGCGATGGCTTCAGCTGTTGGTTTGTTCTCCGGGCAGAAGTTTAGGAGAGGCTTTCATGGTTGGGATCATAGAAAGAAGGAAAACTTTTCTCCCTCTCGCTGCTTTCACTTCTTTTTGTTTTGACAGATTTTTTAGAAAGCGTCTGGCTGATGCAGTAAAGAATTCGATTTACAAGATTTTCCGTTGATAAGTAGTTTTTAACAATACTTTCGTTTTTTACACAGACAATTTTTATTTTTTTTCTTCTTTCATAAACAATGAAATACGTCTGCTTTGGGAATCTCGTTGCGTACAGTTGTTAATAGTAACATTTATACTGTGCCAGTTTTAATTCAAGATGACTAAAGCTTTGCAGATTATGATGTCAATGTTACTTAAATAATGAAATAGATGAAATTGTTTATCAAGTAAGAATAAATATGTTTTTTCAAAAAGGAAAATTTACTAAGTTTTCACTTATAGTTGCAATAAATAACAATAAATTTTTTCGCACAGTACAATAAATTATCTTGAAGATCTTTTCAACTCTATGTTTATAGTTCAAGTGATTGTCTGTAAAATCGTTTTGAGTAGATTATATGTGAAATCAGTTTTCTCTTTTCATTTGTAATTGTATTTATTTACATAATTTATACACAAGATACTCCAGTCTCAGTGTAAAGAGATATTTCATTGTATTGTGCGTTAGGTTTTTTTCCGTATACACTTCTACTGTGTGTTTACACACATTTAAAGAACCGCACTCTTTCAAAGGTGTAGTTTTCTATGCTTCAGAGTCAATGTAATAAAATATCATTTTGCACAACTTAATGTTCAATTTAAAAACACATAAATTGTTCAGTTTCAAAGTAAACAAGTATTCCTAAAAATAGAAATTTCGAATATTCCTTTTTTGTTTTGTTTTTTTACTTCTTATAATGCTTTTTCAAACATGTAGTGCTCTCTGCATTAACGTTAATGCAAGAAAACACCATTTTTTCAGTTTCGAATTTGCAGCAATATATTAAAAAATACTAAATTGCATTCTTTCCCCAAAAAATAAATTAATTAATAAGATTATTCCTTTTATCAATAGTTTACCATATATTTAACACAAAACTACTGAAGAGTTAGCGTAAGATTTCAAATTCCAGATGATAGAGCAACGCTTCCAAATAAAAAGACTTCATGACACTTCAAAGTTCATTCAAACAAATCTGACATTTGCTTTTAAAAGAGGAAAAAAACACAAAGCTTTCTTGATGGACGATCGTTTGCAGGGTTACTATGTCTGCGCTCGGCACTCCTTGTTGCCACCTGGAAAAAGAAAGGATAAAAATAGTTCTTCATTCAGATGACATACATACATCGTACCTTATTTATAGAAAGAAGCAATTGCTTTGTTTAAGAAGAGGAAAAACGCATATGTAACCATATTTGATGAAAAAGATATGTTCATCGTTCTTTCGTTTTGCTTATTAATTAACCCGGAAAAGAAGCAGCGGTCAGTTTCAGTTTCTCGACCAGTTTTTCTTATGCTATTTATGAAAAGGTACTCATTTATTCTGCAGAAATGTAAACACATAAAATAAAAGTTTAGGTTTTTCTTATTTTGAATTTTTTTTAGACGAAGAGGAATTATAACAAAATTTTCCGATTTTTTTTAATTAAAAATATTTTTTCAATATCGGGTTAAAATATTTAAACAAATCTTTTAGTACTTATATTGATGTTAGAAATGTTTATAGTTTTAGAATCTCTTTTTACAGTCCAGTTACGTTACGTTATGCTACCAGTTATCGTCCACGCGGCCTGCTAAGCGGTGCCTCTCCATGAGTCACGGGATCTTTCATTTATGCCTCGTGGCATAATGTAAGTTCTCCGACGTACTATCATTCGTCGCGGCATAACACTTTTCATTTTTCTCTCAGCTTAAATTTATACAATGTTTAAGCTAAGAGTTTCAGAGCATTTTGCGTAGTTTTTAATAATTTTTACATTTATTGTGTTTTCAATAACAGCTGTAATGTAATTTATATTACAGAGTGATCATAAAAAAAACTTTCTCCGCTGAAATTTCAGATATTGTTATTTGAAGTTATGCGCTCGAGATTGTGTTGATTTAAAACAATAGAGCTCTCACGATTACGGTTACAGCGAAATAATTTCGAAATTTTCGAATGACAACACCAATTTCTTCCTGCGAAAACTGATTAGAGCATTAAAAAACGGAAAAGGACGTTGGAATGATACGTGTATGACGAAAATTGCTGGCATAAAACATTTGCATAAAAGGACATAGTAAAGTCCTAAGACAACATAGTAGGACCTAAGACAACACAAGAAAGGAAAAAAAAAAAAAAAAAAAACTTTTATTGGAATTACAATTTTTTAACGTGTACAACTTTTCAAGATGGAGTCATCTCCAGTGACTTTGCAGTTTCGTGGCCACCACGATCCCCCCGACCTCACTCTGAGGGATCAGAAATCTAAGGTGTGCACATCAAATCCCCGAGATTTCTCAGTATTGAAAGATGTCGTATTCTTCCAGTAATGTTACGTTCGTCATAGTTGTTAACAATCTCTACGGAATAAATTATCGTCTGCGAAGGTGGACGCGTTGAAAACTTGTAATTCTAGAAAAAGTTTTTTGGCCTCTCCTCTCTGGTATTCTCATTGGTCTTTTACAATGTTCTTCTTTGTTAATGCTTTACGTTAGCAATTTTCGTTACACGTGTATCATTTCAACTCCATTTATGGTTTTTTAATATGCTGATCAATTTACGCAGGAAAAAAGTTAATATTGCATTTCGAAAATTTCAAATTTTTCACTGTAATCGTAACCCTGAGAGCTCTATTGTTTTCCCGACGGAGTACTTTCAAATAATAATATCTGAATCGAGTGGTTGAGCGGATAGGGGTTCATATATCGGGGAGGTTTTTTTATGGCCACCCTTATTTAACTTTTAATAATTGCTCTAATGTAATTTATGCATTTAATTCGTGGAACTAATAACTAAACTTTTGCATTGTAACTGTGAATAACAACAGATATTTTTTGTGATTTATTAAGTTCTTTGGTACAGAATTATTTACACGACAACTAACTTTTTTTTAAAAAAATTTTGCATAAAAATAAAAATAAAATTAATTAATCATTATGTAAAATTAACAAGATTTTTTGTGCAAACAACTTTCCATCTTAAATAATTTTAGCATATATATCCGTAAACAATTAAAACAAATAAATAAAGGTAAAACTGCAATTTGAGAAGATTATAGATTAAAGCCTCCAAGAAGAGTTTAATATTAAAACAAAATTAAAAAGTGTTAAACACATTAAATAGCGTTAAGCACCAAAAAAAAAAAAAAAAAAAAAAAAAACTTGCACCAGTTGCTTATCACACCAGGTTAGAAATATCATTTATTAATTACAAATATGTATAAAAATTAAACATATGATATTTGACAAAATAAATGTATTTTAATTTATATCAGTTAGGCATACTATTAAGTTAAAAACTTAAATTATAAAGAAACGTGTTTATTGCTTAAACACGCGAAGATATAAATTCACGTATATCTTCGGAAATTTTGAATAAAAAACTTTCATTTTTTGCAGGTTAAAAATGCATCTACTTTAAGATGATGGTAAAAATTTTATTGATTATAATTGAAAATTGTTTTACAAAAAATTTATAAAAAAATATTTAAAAATAAATTACAAAAAACGCGCTAATTTTATTTGGAATGAACCTAAATTTCGAAACATGAAAAGAAGAATCAAATAAGTTTAATTAAAAAAAATTAATAAATATGTGGGATGGCATCGTTCATTATAATCAGATGACGCGACAAGCTGTGAAAATAAATCTTTTACTTTTCCGATGATGGAAGGCAGACGATTCCGCCATTAAGACGATGACGCGACTGAAAGATGTTTACATGAAAAAGACAGTCGATTCTCTTCATCTGTATATATCATCTATGTAAATTCATCTATTTCCTTCTACGTATGTAATTACTTTGTAGTTTGTTGCAACTATTCATGTTTAATTAAATATTCAAGTTTTACATAAATCGGACTAGTTTATTAGCCCCTAGACAGCCACATCGGAAGTAAGTTTACAAACATCATATTCCTAGACAGTAAGTACAGATTCTACAAATATATATCAAATTCAATTAATATAAAGGAGCTAAAATTTTGAGAGCTAATTTTTTAAACACTCGTGCGATTTTAACAAAACTTGGAAGTTTGGCATAATTTGAGTCGTAGAATCGAAATATGTAAAAAATTGCCATTTTAATTTCAGAAAAAGTACAAAATATGGAAACAAATTGGTATGTTATCTTAGAAAAAGTCCGATTTTGTGTCAAAATATCTATATTAGAACAATGCTATATATCAGAGTTTCTTAAACTTTTTTCAGTCGCGATTCCATTTTATCACTCAGATTTTTTCGCGGCCCCCAGAACCTTATAATATTTACAAAAAATTTGTGGGATCTCGTATGTATCGCGCAAATCCGGCACACACACGCGTGAGTAAAACTGTCAATTTTTTCACTTGTACTGTAATATACTATTGCAGTTTTAAGTCATTAACTTTAATTTCTAATTTTAAGACATAGAACAATGTGAAAATTTTAAATAAGTAACAGACGAAATGACAGCGTCGCGTGCAAAGGGAAGGAAAATGAACGTTTATATTATAAAAGAATGCATCGAAACGTTTTCGTTTTTTTTTTTTTTTTTTTTTGTCTCTATTGTCTTATCTTTATCTATTTTCAGATACATTGTGGTAAAAATATTTGGTAATTGTGAAATTATTATAATAAGTTAAAGAAATATCAAAACTGCTAAAACTGATGAAAGGATTCAAGCCTACACAGGGTGGATGAATATCTTTTAAAATAAACTCCTAGAACACCTCACCGTGGGTAGGCAAAGAGAGGCGGCTTCTTTTACCAAGAATGAGTCAGACGATTTACTCATAATAACAGAACAATGACATTTTCCTTATGAAATGTTTGTGTATTCTGGCGAATTTTATTGACTGGTTATAAGGCGTTAATATTCGCTTTCATTTGGCGAAATCGTCTGCTAAAGGCAATTCGTCGTAAAATGTTTGCAGTGCGTCGTTGTATGAAAGTTGTAATGAGCTCGTAATTTTCAACCATATACCATTTTTCGTCTCATAAGCTTTTAAGAACTATGAACATCTATAAATAATACATGATGAATATTGTAAAAAAACGAAAGTTACAAACACGTTGCACGCTAGTGTACGCTAGACTAATAAGTGAATGGCGCTGCGTAGCTAACCGAATTTTATGATGCCACATCTAAATTTCTATATGTGCCCACATCTAAATTTCTATCAAAGCGTCACATCAAAATTTCTATATGTGTGGTTCAGAGATATTTCTGTCTAAATCAACATTCAATCTAGTTTAAAAAGGAATTTATTAAAATACCAAACAAATTAATCTAATCTAGAATCCATTTAATATCTCATCAGCAGCATTCAAGTTGCATCAAAACAAATCGCAAAATCACGTTCAGACTGCTGCCATTCCGAAGCAGAGAAAAGTTTCTGTTCAAACCAGAACATACGTAGTTATTTTAAAAGTAAGATTCATTAGCACCATTTAAAAAATAAATAATTTGTGTTGAAAGTATAGTTACAATAAAGGTTTAGAAATCTAATCTGTAAATTATATTATCTGCATAAATGTTAATTTCACTAAAAACTGTTGGTATTCTTATTAAATAGCTAAAATTAAAAGAATTAGAAGCCAAAATAAGGAAAGCAGTTTTGTCCGACAGAAAAAAATGGTGTTCAAAATGTTTACCTTTCTTTTACACGGTGTCCTGCTTCGATTATTTACTCAATTTTAATTTTCTTTAGTATTTCGTTTAATTTTTAAGATGCGTTTATTTTAATTCAATTTATCATTAATCTAGTTATTAATTTAATTTATTAACTGATTTGAATTTTATAGGCTTTGAATTACTCCTTTTTCCTTATAAGCAAAAAAGGGACGTTAGCTGAAATGGATTATTAGTCTCGAAACGGGATTTTACGTCCAATCACCATAAAAGGGTATACTACTTTTCAAATTGTTGCCATCGAATATTATCGCCTGTATTATGTTTAAAGAAATTAGATAATGAAGAATCTTCATGAATGTTTGTATGTTTCTCGCATTGTGAAAAAACAACGATACCTGAAGCTATCGAATTTTGAATAACATAGTCCTCCACCGGAACATGTGCACCTGAAAGCTCGAATTGCGAATTTGTTTTAATAT